GCATCTAAAGCCCCTTCATATTTTGTGCCATGGAGGCCTTAGACTGGATCCTTTTTTGCAGGAGCAGAACTCTGTGTGTCCCCACTGCCCAAACAGGGGCTCCCCATAAGACACCCTGCGGTGAAGCTTCATGGCACCTGCCTCTCCTTGAGGCTGATGGGCTTTATTCATAGTAGATGGTGGGATGGGCCAACAATATGCTCTACTGTGCGATGGGTTTCATATGCCCTCTTTGCCTCGGTGGTCCAGTAGGTGAGCTGCAGTGGGCAGTCAGTCAGAACATGGACTGCTGAAGTATTGCATTCTGGACCTGAGCCATGAAAGCTGTAGCTAATAAATGCAATGCCCCTATTTACCCCAAAAAGCTGATTCAGTGTTCTCACTGCTTCCTACACAAGCATGCCATTTGACACTGCAGATGCAAACCCAAATGGGTGAACATATCCATCCAAGTTGGGTTGATGGCACTGAGTGACAGTGGTACCTCAGATACAATGGTACCTCAGCTCACAAATGCCTTGGTTCACAAGCAAATCGGGTTGCAAACAAAAATTTCATGAAAAAATTGACATTGGTTGCGAACTCTGCATTGGGTGGCAACCAAGATTGCAACCAACTCCCCACCCCTGAGTGGGGAGATGGCCATGATTGCAGTCGCATTCGAGCGTGATCGCAGCTGTGCTGCACCTATGTTTCCTGTAGGAGCGCACCTGTGATCATGCAGGTCTTCCCTGCATGAATGTGACTTCAATCATGGCCATCGCCCCACTCGGGGGGTGGGGTGGGGAGAGGGCAGTGATCGTGCTGGTTGAGGGGGGAGATGGCCAAGATCGCATCCATCTGTTCTGCAGGAGTGTGCCCATGCCAGGATTACTTGGAGAAGCACCACCCCAAAATGACTGTAATAAACAGAATGTTGAATCTGATGAACAATATCGTGGTCTCTCATTTCCCGAGGGTGATGCAGTGCAGGAAAAACCAAGTGACTATAAACAGATTTTTCACCAAAATTGTCCTTGCAGCTAAGAGACAAAGACAGAAAACCCCTGAAAGAGATTTCCCCAATGTGCTTATGAAGGGTGACTCTCCCTCAAAACAATAACCTCCCTGCCACCTAGGTTAGTGCTTTCCACTGTACTGTATAGTACTCAGTTATTTTGTTGTTCTTTGTCACTTTGTTTTAAATTTTTCTGGTTAAAACATATAGTGACAGAACGGATTAACCATATCTACATTGAATCTTATGGGGAAATTTGACTTGGGTCACAACCAGAGTCATGGAACAGAGTAAGTTCGTAGCCAAGCTACCACTGTAATTCTTAAATCACTGTATATTCAGCCAAGTTTGTGCTGAATTATGGTTCCTCCAACCCCATCCTGTGGAAGACTACTCATATTAAACAGCTTTACCACAGGCGGGTACACCATCATTCCCTTCATGCTGGAAGCAGCTTATTAGTTTGGTTCCCTCAAATGAGTGATATGTCTTTTCTTGGTCTGTAATAGGATATGAGTGATTTCTTCACGTTCAAATTGGAAAACACTTGAGCTTTAACAATGTGGATGCAATGAAATAATGGTTTCCCTACCTTGACAAGAAAGCAATTCATCTGAGAAGTTGATATTGCCTATCCGTGAAGAATTTAGAATAAATGGAATTATGTATTTATTTATTTTTCCTCAGATATGAATTACTGCTATTCATGTGATGATGAGAAGTATCCAAGCAAGCACCTAGATATCTGCATTCCCAAGTGTGCTAACTTCTTTTCGTATGAAGAACCTTTGGGCATCATTTTAACTACTTTCATTATTCTCATCTGCTTGATCACGGGTCTGGTGCTAGGAACCTTTCTGAAGCATCACGAGACACCCATCGTCAAAGCCAATAACCGGCACCTCACCTACGCTCTCCTCGTCTCCCTCCTGCTCTGCTTCCTCTGCGCACTCCTCTTCATCGGCCGGCCTAAAAAGGTAACGTGCCTCCTGCGACAAATGGCTTTTGGCATCATCTTCTCCGTGGCCATTTCTTGTGTGTTCACAAAGACGGTCATGGTGGTTTTGGCTTTCAGAGCCACCAAACCAGGATGCACGATGAGGAAGTGGATGGGGAAGAGACTAGCCAACACCGTTCTTCTTTACTGCTGCTTTATTCAAGCAGCCATCTGTGTTGTCTGGTTGGCAACTTCTCCTCCTTTTCCAGATGTAGACATGCATTCCGTGGCTGAAGAAATCATCCTGGAATGTAACGAGGGATCCATGACAATGTTTTACTGTGTGCTGGGCTATCTGGGCTTCCTGGCAATGGTCAGCTTCATGGTGGCTTTCCTTGCCCGGAAGCTGCCGGACACTTTCAATGAGGCTAAGTTCATCACTTTCAGCATGTTGGTCTTTTGCAGTGTGTGGCTATCCTTTGTGCCTTCCTACCTGAGCACTAAAGGAAAATACCTGGTGACTGTGGAGATCTTTTCTATCTTAGCCTCCAGTTCTGGGCTGTTGTTTTTCATCTTCTTCCCTAAATGTTACATCATTGTGCTGAGACCTGAGCTGAACAAGAAGGAACATCTAATCAGGAGAACAGCTTGAGAAATTTACCTGTCTGTTCACTTTGCTAAAGTTTGCAATCCTCCTGCACCAGGCTTGTGGGAGGTCCACAGTTTGTGTGGTTCTATCTCTTCATCAGATGCCATTTTGCTCAGAAGGAGGACTTCAGAATCTTGTGACATTTCTCTCCTGAAAGGTTTTTTATGCTGAGCTCAAAATGAGCATCTGCAGCATCCCAAGTCCAACAGGCCTTTGGCCACCCCACAGATG